TATAATGACTGAGACATTAGTGACAGATCTGAGACACTAACAATAGAACTGCAGTCACTAATAATAAATCTGCATATCTAAGACACAAGTGGCAGATCTAGGACACCTATGACAACTTTGAGACACTAAAATTGACTGTGATTAAAATATTTTTTTTTCTTCCTTTTGCTAGGTTACCAATTGATCAAATAAATGCAAGTCTTATTATTTTATGATCAAACAATTGCATTAACTACAATGCATAAAATCTTTTTTAATCAGTTTTAACTCTATAAAAAAGTTTTTAATATTTAGTTAAAATAACACAAAGATGAAATGATCAACTTGTGTGATATATTGATGGTTTGCAAAACTTGCAAATATCTCAAACAAAAAAATGTTATGATAGAATATCTAAAGTTTCTGAAATTTGATTTTTAAAGACATGCTTTAAAACTTTAAACTTTAAAAAAAAAAATTTCTTTATTTAATGATGAATAATAAAAATATTACTCATGTGATAAAGAAAATTTTTGAGAACTTATGATAATGAAATACTAATAAAAAATCTGAGACATCTGGAAGTTTTTTCCAACCTCACTAAAAATAATGCATTAAAACAAATCTTGGATGATTCGTTTCTTCTTCCCAATCAATTGATATTTCACTTTATTACATTCATCATAAAATTGTTTTTTTTTTCCTATTATTTTTCATTATTTACTGTCACAAATTGTAGATTTATGAATGGTCACAGTAAATACTACTATAGAAACCTAAGATTGGTCTAAATAAATATTCTAGAGATAAAAAGTTAAAAAGTTTGACCTGGCCTAGCATCCATTCTTGTTTTTTAAACCCCTATCATAATCTTTCATTACACCCCCCATCCTTCTTTATAATCCTTCATTACATAATCATATGCTATATGTGTGTTAAAATAAATGTTAATAATAAACATAAACATAAATAAAATTTAAAACATAGTTATTTTATATGTAATATTTTAACAAATAGTACTACATATAGTTAAGCATTCTAAGTATTATATAAACTGGTTACTAAAAAATTTTAAAGAAAAATGATGCATTTACTTTACATAAATAAATGTAGGTGTCTACTACCTTTTAAATAAATGAGTTTTTACTGAATATAATTAAAACACAATTACAAAAAATTAAAAATGTTATTTATTTTTTTCTAACCGTGTTTTAATAGAATATAAACATAAATTTTAAATAACTTTGTTTATAGTGTCATTATAAACAAAACTATTTTAAAAAAGTCTCGTAAATGCAAAAAAGTCTAAATAAGTTACTCAAAAAAATAAATAATAATACCTTTTGTTTTATTTGCTTCACACTGCGTAGGGTTACTCTAAATTATTTTTTATTTTCATAGTTATTTTAATAATTTTTATATATTACTTTAACATACAATTGCCATTGAAAAAACAACAACAATAATAACAACACAAACAATAATAACAACATGAACAAAAAAAATATTAATATCATCAACAATGACAACAACAATAGCTGAAACAACAATAGCAACAGCAATAGCACCTGCAAGAAAGAAATAACAACTGTAACAAAATAGTAACAACAGCCAAAACAATAATTACAACAACAAAAACTACAATAACTTTTAATTTGAAATCAAAAACAAAATTAATTCTAAGGTAGTAAAACTATGTGTATATCCTGCACATTTATATTGTTGGTCTGACCATAGATCCCAAGATCTGACCATAGATCTCAAGATGATTAAAACTTATAGGAAAAGAGGAAAAATAATAATACACACATTAGTATGTTACTTTGTAAGTATACACTATATTTGTATGCATACCCCTTTTTCTTTGTAATTCAAAATAATTTTATTTTAAATGGAAATTTCAATACCAAAACTTTTTTATTCAAAAAATAAAAATAATAAAAACAACACAAGTTAACATTATTAAAATAATAATAATAATAATAATAATAATAATAATAACAGCAACAAAGTAATCAAAACATTAACATCAGCTCATTAACACACACAACTTTAACAATAATAATAATAACTATAACAAAAAAGATTTTTAACAAAAAATTAGTTAAAAATTAATTAAACTAGTAGTTAGGAGGTTAAAAAAATATTAAAAAAAAAAAAAATTTATTTCTAAAATATGACATCATTATTGCATTAAAAAAAGGAAACATGCTTAGCATTAAAGGTGATTAAAAAATTGCTATAGAAACAATTGTTTTCTAAATAAAAAACCATATTAATTAAAGATTATATTAAAGTAACGGTACAATAATTATAATAATCTTTTAGAAAAAATTCAAAATATAATTTTGTTGTTGGTTAAAATTTTACCTCTGTAGAGTTTAAATCCTCTTCCATATCATTCAAAAGTAAATTTATATTTTCTAACACAGCATCAAGATCTGCATCATTGCATCCAAAATCTTTTGCGCTGCAAATAAAATAACAAAAAATTTACCATTATAACTGTGTTCTTGATTTAATTTCTTAACAACAGTATATATCTTTCCTAACAACAGTAATTATCTTTATATATTTGATACAAGTACTTTGAAAAGAGTTGTTAAAACAGCTTCATAACAGATAAATAAAAGAAACACAAGTGCACACAAGTGAAAGGAATCAAATACTCAATACTGAAACTGATTAAGAAACATTTGCAATTAAAACTGAAAATGTGTTTTAACTAAATCAAACTATAAATTTTTAAAAATCAAAACATTAAAACAAAGAGCTAAAGTTGTTTTTACATTTATTGGCAAGTACAGCAGAAAATAAGATAATGCTGCCATATTACTAGCAAACTAATTAACAATATTGTACAATTAAATATAAAAGCTTGAATACAGGAATGCATTTGTAAAAGACTTTTAAAAGTTAAGAAAAAGTTTTTTTTGTTGTTGTTGTTGTTTTATTATCTGTTATGGTTCCTGATCTTACATATACAAACACTAAGACTAACCGTGAATTTCTGTCCCTCCAACACATTGTTGCTACTTTAAACATGGTTAAACTAAAGAATATTTTTTTTAAAAGATAAAAGTTTCAGTTTAAGAACTTATTTCTATATTTATAACTATCATAATTTGATCAACTAAAAATACTCAATAAATATTTCAGAATATAAATAGTAAAAATAAAAAAAAGTTTTTTTTCTAGTCAAAAATGTTAAACTTTTAAATACTAAAACCGCGTACTTCAAACACAGTGGGAAACAAATTTGCTTAGAAATTTGAAGGAGTTAAAGGAATAATGGAAAAAAAAAGCATTGCAGGAAATGACAGCATGATGTGATTATAAAAATGTATAAAAAGTCACATAATGATATGTTATTATGAAGCGGCGATCAACACAAAGATTCAACACTTCCATGCTAAAATAGGATTAGATTTTAACATTATTTTCAGTTATTCACAACAAAAAAAAAAAAAAAAAAAAAAAAAGGATCCAATAAAAATTTAGTTTTTCTAAAAAAAAAATTATTTAATTGAACACAAACACAGAAAAATATATATAAATATATAAAATCTAATTATTCAAAAAAATTATTCTTTTGAAGTACTTAAAAACAAGATGTAAAATGGAAAATTTTAATAAACTGTCTTTCAAAATTCAAAAACATCTTTGATGTGGAGACTTTAATAGAATTCTGCATCACTAGCATTAATACCATTGTATTACTAAAGCCACCACATTAATAGCAACAATTCATAAACTCCTTCAATGCAAATGCATAATAAAACTTGTAAATAACCAACCACATAAAAAAATTTATAACTTTGCATATGAACAAAAACTTGAAATTACACATATATTAAAAAAACATTGGCATCTATAAAATGTTTAAAAAATGCATTATTATAGAACAATATAACAGTAGAGTGATAACACACTTATGGATGGACAGATTATTATCCAATTAGAACTTATGTTGTGCTCAAAAAAATAATTCAATAGTAACGATGCTTGAAGAAAACTGATTATTTCAAATGTAGCAGCAAAGATAAACAAATTAAAAACTGGCAACTGTCAAAGAGAAAGCACACCATAATATTTCTTTTTAACTTTTAATCAGGTAAATATGCTTTAATTAAAAATTAAAAATAACCTTTGAGGCTTACTAGGCGACAAAACATATTAAGACACAAAAAAAAAAAAAAAAAAAAAAAAAAAAAAAAAAAAAAAATTAGCAAAAAAAAAGTTCTAAAGAACTTTAAAAAAACTATTTTTAGAAAGATATTTTTAAATTTTGATTTTAGCTTGTAAATAAAAATTTTTGTAGGCAAAAAAAAAAAAAAAAACTAGTTAACCAATATATGAAATAATAATTCTTTTAATCTATCATAAAATAAAAAATATTTTTTGATCACATTTTTAAAGATTAAAATGTTGTGATGCAAAAAAAAAGAAAGAATGCAATAAAAAAGCAATTCCAATCATTATTTAAGTTTTCTAAATTCCGTTTGATAAATTTATTATTAGTTACGTAGATTACAGACAAACTTTTATTTGATTTAAAAGTATAACAAATGATCTCATTTCTCAAATGACGTCAATTAACTTAAAGTAAAAAGAATGCCATCAAAAATAATAACAGAGTTCTAATCAACAAATTATAGCAGAGTTCTAATCAATAAATTCTAATAATGATGCAGTCTTAATCAAGCAAATTAACTTTTTAGTAGTATGATTTACTAAACCTATTAAAATACTCCTAAAAATCTACTAAACCTTATCTTACAAATTAAAAATATTACTTTTATCCTGAAGATACAAAATAGCTAACAAAAAGAAATCACAAAACAGCTAACAAAAAGAAAGTGCAAAATAGCTCACAAAAAGAAAGTACAAAATAGCTAACAAAAGTTATAGTCTGGGTTTTAATTTTTATTAGATTACTACATATTATGGCACTTAAATACAAAAAACAAAAAATAAATAATTTTTTCATAGAAAAAATTCTATGGGAAGTAAATTTCCATAGAATTTTTAGACATTCTTAAGACAAAGCTTATATAGTGACTTTTTTTTCTGAACAATAGAAATTTAAATTTGAAGACAAAATCATGATATTTAATTATAAACTTTTTTTTATTTTGGATAGTTTTATAATCAAAGAATGACAAAGAACAGAATAAAAAAGCAAAATTAAAAATGATTTATTATTATTATTATTATTATTATTATTATTATTATTATTATTATTATTATTATTATTATTATTATTAATATTATTAATCAGTACAAATAGTTAAACTATTTTAAATATTTGCATATAATTGCTTACATTGCTTGCTTTTCTATAAATATACATAAGAAAAACATTTTTTAAAATGATTTTTTTTAAGTATAATAATTTATATATTTATAAAACACTAAAGTGATTTAAAAAACTTGATAATTTTTATTTTAAATTTTTTTATTTAATTTTTTTCATGAAAACAAAGTTTGAGAAAAATTAACCTTGTTTTGACAAAAATCCTTTTGTGTCCAAAAGCTAAATACAATAAACATTAACTAACATCATCAATTTTTTGAATCAAGTCTCATTACCACACATAACACAACACCACTACACACCACCACAACACATGATCTACCACCACCACTACACACAAACTTTATTTACTCTCCCTTTTATTATTAAATAGATGACAACAAAATGTATACTTTTCATTATTAAAATATTAATATAAGTAAAATTTATGCAAATTTATGCATATAAAATTTATGCAAATGTATTATAAAATTCTGCAAAATGAACTTTGGTAAAAAACATTTTTTGTTTGTTTTCTACATTTAAAAAAATCAAAAAAAAGTTTAGATGTCACAAAAAAAAAAGAGAAAAAAAAAAGAATCAATAAATTAATTATTATCAAAGTTTAGACTTTTACAGACTTTTCTGATTGTTAAATTAATAAAATTGTGTAAATATTATTTTAAATGTATTACTTTTAACTATATGTAATAAATAATTAGCTGTAAATTGCACTTACAATTTTAAGTCCATACAACTCTCTTCTTTAGCTCATATCTTCGGAAAATGTCATTTACACATCTTTAAATTGAGTTTCAAAACATCATCCATGAGATCAAATTTTATTGAAGGCAAAAGGTTTTTTTCCAGTTGATTAGAGTTGTAAATATTTTGCAAATGATTCGTGTTTTTCATTTTTATATTTTATGACTTGGAGTTCCTAATACTATATTATAGATATAAATTTGCATTAATTAAATTTCATTAAATACAAATAACAACTTTTATATTTAAAACACTTATCAAATTATCAAAAATTATACAACAATACTGTACAACAATATACTGTTTTACTTGTACAACAAAATAAATTGTTACTTGTGCAATAACAATAGTGTTTGTTGTACATCAATACTACTCATAATTTATGGAAAAATTTTGAATTATGTTTATAAAAAAATATTACAATCAGAGGAAACATATTTGGTAAAGTTTGATCATATTTTTTTTATATATGACCATAATAACCCAAGCAAAATATGCAACCATTCTATGTAAACACAACTATTCTATGTAAACACAACTATTCTATGTAAACACAACCATTTTATGTAAACAGCATCCATATAAAAAAGATGACTAAATCAAAATGATTCATTATTATCTTATTTGCATCCAATAGCTACAATAGTAAAAACAAAATCTCTCTCTCTCTCTCTCTCTCTCTCTCTCTCTCTATATATATATATATATATATATATATATATATATATATATATATATATATATATATATATATATATATATATATACATATATATACAAGTAAAATTAAAAAACTCAACTATTAGTAGATTGGTAAAGAAATACAAACACACTGGTAAAACTGAAAGGGCTGTTGGATCTGGGAGAAAACCGAAAACTTCAAAAAAGGGAGATCGTTACATTCTTAATGCTGTCAAAAAAAATCGTAAAATCACTCGTTCTGAGATAAAACTAGATTTGAACCTTACTAATATCTTAAAGTGGACAATATCTTGCAGGATTAAAGCATCAAGTGATTTTTTTTCTGGAAAGCAAATTAAAAAACCTTTTGTTAGTGAAATCAATTGAAAAAAGCGTGTAAAGTGGTGCATTGAGCACAAAGATTGGACATATGAACAATGGGCTAACGTTATCTGGAGCAATGAGTCTACATTTGTTTTGTATTATAATGATCGATCTCACTGTTAGAAATTAATTGGGGAAAAATTCAATCCTCAAACGTGCATAGCAACTATTAAACATGACAAAAAGATTAATGTCTGGGGTTGTTTTAGTGCACACAAAGTTGGAAAAATGTACCGGGTAAAGGGCATTATGGACCAGCATTTGTATCACAAAATCTTAGTTAACCAGCTTGGATCAAGTATAAAAGAACTTTTTCCTAATGGTGACTATATCTTTCAACAGGATAATGATCCCAAACATACAGCATGGTTGAATAAAAGATATCTAAAATCTAAATTGATTCCAGTTATGCCTTGGCCAGCACAGTCTCCTGATTTAAATCCAATAGAAAACCTTTGGTCTATTTTGGATAAAAAATTGCAAGATCGTAGGGCAACAAATGAAGATGATCTGTTCCAAATTCTTCTTGATGGTTGGAATGCTTTGCCAAATGACTTATTAAAAAGACTTGTAGATAGTATGCCTTCTAGATGTGCGGAAGTCATAAGAAACAAAGGATGGCCAATTAAATACTAAAACAGCTTTAACCTAATAAATACTTTACAAAACCAAATTTCTTTTTATTATATGTAATATACAATTATATTATAAACATTTTTATCAATATTGGCTGTAATAGAAGTAACATTATATGAGTTTTAGACATTTGTTGTTGTTGTTTTTATAAAAAAATTGAGTGTGGCTTTTTTTTTGCACCCCACTGTATATATATATATATATATATATATATATATATATATATATATATATATATATATATATATATATATATATATATATATATATATATATATATTTGCACATACAAACTACCAGTCAAAAGTTCACTTGATAAATTTAATAATATACAAAAAAAAAAAAAAAAACTCCAATAAACTTTAATTACTCATATTGTTTAGAATAGAATAATAATCTTTCAACAAAATAAGAATTAGCTCTACTTTATCATTTTTCTACACTTAGCTCTACTTTATTATTTTTCTACACTTAGCTCTGCTTTATTACCCATTTTTCTTTAATCAAAACATAAAATATATACTTTTCTTTGAATTTTAATATTAGGATAAAATTCTTTTAATTATTTCAAGATGCATAACAATTATTCTATAAACCTTACAATATTTAATACAAATAATATTTCGATTACCTTTCTGTATAAAAATCATGAAAAAAAAGTTAAACAAGTTAATATTACAGCAAAATATATCCAATTATTACAGCAAAATATACCCAGAGTATTCATTATTGTAACGATGATAAAATATTATCTATGTTAGCAAATAGGTGTGTCAAATCTCTTTATGATCAAAATGTCAAAATGCTAAAATTAATGTTATAATAGTTTTGAATGGAAAAAACTTTAATTTTAAGAGTTAAATAAGAAAGCAAGTGAACGCAATCTTTTGACTGGTAGTGTACGCTTATATGTATAAACTTGATGTTTAGACACTGGTAAACCTACTGATAATGAAAAAACTTGTTGAAGAAAGCTAGATAAATACTTTTACTAATTTCTTATTGTTCTGTTCCTAAATAACTTTAATAGTGTAGAATACACTAATATAATTTATATACATACAGTGTACATATATGCTGAGTTTCTTAGTTTTACTTAAGTTGTACAAGTATTTTTATATTTTGTTGTTGTTGTGATGGTTGTAACCATGACAGTCATAACAAAAAATCTAATATTGAAAAAAATAAATAAACGACGCAAAAAAAAAAAAGAGAAATGATTATTAAAAACCATGTTAACTATGTTAAAAAATGCACTATAAGATTATCAAAATTTTTAATTACGGTAATTATGATAGGATTTTAAATGCTTCATAACAAGACTCTATATAAACATCAAAACACGTTAATCCAACCCTTACAACTTTATAACCATGCTATGGTATGATAGAATGATTTTTTTAAATAACTTTTTTATGCAATAAATATATATATATATATATATATATATATATATATATATATATATATATATATATATATATATATATATATATATATATATATATATATATACATATATATATATATATATATATATATATATATATATATATATATATATATATATATAATTTAAATTAATTTATGCTATGTTTATTGTATTATTAGTAAAAATTATATAGTTAATTATAAAAAAGTACATAAAATAAATGAATATCTTTTTTAAAATAATATTTCCCTTCATTTTAATGTTCAAAAATCTAATAATAAAAATGTCCATTGTCCCTTATTAAATATTGAATCAATAGGTACATAAAATGTTAATATCAGTAATAAATAACTATTCTTCCATATCATCTATATCTTCATCTTCTTCTTCAAGTGCTCTGAGCAGATCTTGGGCTTCAGCCAACTTCTTTCTAGCAGATTCAACACGTTTTCTTTGTAGTTGTATCATATCATCAGAAATAGATATAGGTGTAGTGAATGGTTGGTCAGCATTACATAGAGCTGTTGGATGCTTTCTTAATGCACTCAGAGAAGCCTGCTGTCCAACAATTTTATTACAGTTAAGAAAATTATAGGCAAGCGAATTAAGAAGGGATTGATTGTTACTGCCAGGAAGAATTTCTTTAACAAAGTTATTAAGTTCTGCTTGTTTACAAAGTTCCATAGTTTTCTCGTTAATAGGAAAAAGGTTCTGAAGACGAAGATGCCAGAAAAGCTGTCTTGGTTTAGCAAACTGTTGCGACAATATATCAGCTCTTTTTTTTTTGGCTTCATTTTCAGCTAATATGCTCCGACTTAATGGTTTTTCTAAATAAAAATTTCAATACTTTTTAACATGTAAAAATTAAAAACTTAATAAAATAAGAAAACCTAGCCAACCTTAAACAAACTTATAAAAGGTAAAAAAACAGGCCAATCTGTTTTACAAGGTATAAACAGGTAAAAAAAAAAAAAAACTCAAAATAGTTTACTAAAAGTATTTTCTAAGTATACTTTTTATCACTCAGACATAAAGATATTATTATTATTTTTTTTAATTATTCACCTCTCAAGGCCCGAGGGGGCCACTACAGTCGAGGAGGCTACTCATTTTTTTTTTATTATTATTATTATTATTTTTTGTAAATTGTGGTACAACCCTCTCTCAACTCTTTAACTCCAAAACACGAACCTTGACAAACAAGGCCGCTGCGCGGAGAAATCAAGTTGAGCGCGGTACTTCCAGGGACATGGTGGGAGTCGAATTCCGAACCTCTCGCTTACAAAGTGAGCGCTCTTACCACTACACCACTACCGCATAATTCAATAATTTTAAAATCTTTCCTAGATACATATAAATATCTCTCCCAGATATTTTCCATTAGAAAGAAAAACAAGATTCAGTTAAGCACTTATTAAAAGTAATAAAGAGAATTCTTTTGTAAAACTGTACAGGAATGTTATCTTTTGTAAAACTGTGACAAGAATGTTATCTAGTTGTGACAGGAATGTTAACTTTTGTAAGACTTTTGACAAGAATGTTATCTAGTTGTGACAAGAATGTTTTCTTTTGTAAAACTGTGACAGGAATGTTATCTAGTTGTGACAGGAATGTTATCTAGTTGTGACAGGAATGTTATCTAGTTGTGACAGGAATGTTATCTAGTTGTGACAGGAATGTTATTCTAGTTGTGACAGGAATGTTATCTAGTTGTGACAGGAATATTATCTAGTTGTGACAGGAATGTTATCTAGTTGTGACAGGAATGTTATCTAGTTGTGACAGGAAAGTTATCTAGTTGTGACAGGAATGTTATCTAGTTGTGACAGTAATGTTATCTAGTTGTGATAGTAATGTTATCTAGTTGTGACAGGAATGTTATCTAGTTGTGACAGGAATGTTATCTAGTTGTGACAGGAATGTTATCTAGTTGTGACAGGAATGTTATCTAGTTGTTCAAGTGGAAAATCACTTGGTTGCACAGCTTGGTTAACAACTTGGTTGTCTTATAATGGATTAACTCCACTCTTTAGGATAAATAGAAGGATACGGCTAATAGATTCAAGAAATGAGTTAATGGAAAAATTATTCACAAATAATTCTGCCGTATGCTTAGGTGAGATAATAAAATCTGATGTCATGATAGGTCTGATCCATCTGATCCAGGTTTGACTTGCCTTTATTAATGACTTTGTTAAAGATTTTCCAAATGTCTTTAGAATCTGAATTCTAAGATAAAATACAAAGGTTAAAAATATAATGTACATTATAATAAAAAACAGCTTTTAACAACTCTTTGTGTTTAAATGTTGACAAAATCAAGTTAAGTTAACATGTAAAAACCATTAAAATAATTGAGAAAACTAATTCAACTTTATTGTTTTTTAAAAACTACAAAAATACAACTTAATACACTAGAATGTTGTTTTTTTAACTCCCTGTTTATTTTTTGACTCTTTTACTAAGACTTTGAATTTTTACTGGGGATGTTTTCCAAGAGTATTTTTTTGTCCTTATTCTCAAACCAAGTGAAACCAACTTGAAATCAAAGCATAATCTTTTAGATTAGTTTTTTTAGTTTTCAATACCAACTTTAAGTTCTTATTACCAACAGATATAGCGCTCATTTACTTTATGCAGTTATTCCTAAGCAACAGCACAACTCATTTTTATTGTCGCAAATTAGTAAAAACCTTACGATGTAATGCATGTATATATATATACATATATACATATATATACATATCAATATTTAATTTAATTTAATAAAGCACGATTAAACATTTAATTTAAAGAAATATTCTTGATGTAGCTAATTTAGATTTATTGACAAGAAACAATTGCTTTTGCGTGTGTTCTCTTACACCATCAATTGGAACTAGAATATACAAATGTCGCTAAAAGCAATTCAATTTAATTTTCTTCTGCAACTATTTAATTGTTTTGACATTTATTTGACATTTAAAAGTTGCTTAAATGTTGAGTCATATAAATGTTAAAGATAAGTATTAAAGAGACTTTTTACCCTTAAATTCTCATTCGCTTAAGTAGTTGTTTGGTCGCACATGTTTCAAATAAGTGATTAGACATTTTATTGAACAAATATGTATATATATATATATATATATATATATATATATATATATATATATATATATATATATATATATATATATATATATATATATATATATATATATACACCTTCTAAAGCGTGTTTTGATAAACATTTGCTCACTTTTTCTTTTTATCTCAAGCTATACCGTTTTTTTCGAAAAAGAAGAAAAAACGAAGAATGATAAATAAAACAATTGCTTCCCCATCCCAAACTCTCAGTCGATGTAGCAGCACTCCACTGCGAGTCAGGCTATTTGTCAGTCGATGTATGTACTGAAGCCCCCAGCAGCAGGCTATTTCAGTATGACGTCAGATTGCTTACCTTAGTACGCAATACTATTTGTATATAAATATATATATATATATATATATATATATATATATATATATATATATATATATATATATATATATATATATATATATATATATATATATATATATATATATATATATATATATATATATAAGGGTGGTTCAGATTAAGGTAAAAAAAATTTCAAACTAGAGTGGAAACTTGTAACGTTCCCAGACTCTAGTTTAATAATTTTTTTTTTAATTAAAAAAAAGTTCAAGGATGGCGTAGAGCCTTAAAGTACTTTTTTTTTTTTTTTTTAAACACCTTTTTTTGACATTTTTGACCCATGTGTGCCACCCTTCAACATTATTTAATTAATTTTTTTTTCTATATTTATTCTTGCAATGACTAATATTAAATAAAAAATAGGCACTCGTTCTCAGGCCTTTTTTTTAAAGCATTATGCGTAGAGCGATTTACCTACGCCTGTAGTGATTTTACATAAGCAGTAAGCAATTTCGGTTAAGCGATTTTTTATCATTTTTTAACTTTTAAATTACTATAAGCGGTAAGATAAAAAAAGTGATTAATTTATAAAAAAAGTTATTTAACTTTTGAATAACATTTATGTAAAAATATTTGTTACAAAAGTTTGAATGACAATTATGTTTGATATAAGCGCTATTTACTAATAAAAAAAACTCAAATAAAATTAAAAGCTTATTTTTATTTTATTTTATTGTAATGATTGAATTTTTAAGCTTGAAAAATTATAGATCATAAAAATATAATTAAATTCTGATAAAAAAATATATGATTTAATTTAAGAATAATTTAATAAAAATGTACAATATATATATCATTTAATTTTGATTTAAAAAATATATTCAAGTTTATTAAAATTAAAGTTAATGCTTGGGTTTAACTTAACTGTCAAATTTATTTAAAAATATTACTAAATATTATTCAATATTGAAATTTTATTTGTTCTTAAAAAAAAAAAAGTCATTTTTAATGTAATTGATTTTTTGGTTTTCCTTCCTAAACATTTTTTTATTACTCAAAATTAAATTTTAAATAAACAGATGCATCAAAAAGTTGCACAAAGCGTAAGTTAAACTTTTTTTTTTTATAATGCAAGTTAAATTGCAGCAATTATTTTTTAATAAACGATATATACAGCAATATATTTTTAATAATAAAATAATAAACTAATAAACTTTTAATAAAAAAAAGTAAATAAATTTTACTTATTTTTTAATAAACGATATATACAGCAATATATTTTTAATAATAAAATAATAAACTAATAAACTTTTAATAAAAAAAATTAAATAAATTAATCTAATTTTTTATTTTTTTACTGACTAATTTTTTGAATCATTTTTATATCAATTTTATATAAAATCATTTGCAATCAGAAATTTAGAAATAATTATTTTAAAAACTCAAAAATTTAAGATATTTTAATTTATTTATGCAAATGTCGAGAAGAGAAAGATTTTGTTAATATCAAACATTTTCCAAAATGGGGTAATTCCATGTAAAACTGGGACAAAAATTTAAAATTTTTCAGTCACCCTCTCAGATTTCCTTCAAATTTTACTCAATGGTACCTTCCAATCTAACATGAAAAAAGTAAAGTTTGAGCTCCCAAATCCAAGTAGTTCAAAAGTTATGAAATTTTGAAATTAAGCCTAAAACGCCCTATTTTTTTCCACATCTGCCATTATGGACTTTGTAGTACTACTTTTAAATGAATAATTCAAGATCTAGTGGAAGAATGAGGCTGAAAATTAGTAACTGACCATTATCAATAGTGCTGAATTTAAAAATATAAAGAAAACAGTGAAATTTAAATTTTTTGATGGTTATTATTAGATTTTAAAATGGTCAGTCATCTTTTTTGTTCTGTTACCATGGGTTGCGCTTTCATTAACTTCCGGAGTTGCCCAAGTTTCATAGATTCAATTTTTTTTCAAATGAAGCAGGTGATCCTAGGCTATCTTTATAAAAAAGATGGTTTTGGTTTCTTAAAGCATTATAAAGATATGTCATTTTGAAATTTAGACAAAAAATTATTTATTTGGACTCAAATTCTCTGTCATAGATTTTTTAGCAATTGTATATGTGTAAATATAGATTTGTGACATCAGTTATGTCGTATTAATATGGTTTTAAAACACCAGTTGTTTAAGATTAAAATTATTTTAATTTTAGAATAAATAATTATTGAGTCTTGTTTGGTAATTCAGTTTCTTAGTCATGGCAAACAGCCAACAATACTTCATCGGAATCAGATGAAGTATTGTTGGAAGAGATGGAGCTAGTGAGAATCAAACTAAGTGATAGACTTTTAATAGCAACCACTATTCCTAGGACAAGAAGTTTCCATCAATTTATAACTTCTTC